AGGACTTGTCCAAGGTGTCGGACGAGGAGCTGCTCAAGTGGAGCAAGGAGGAGCTGATCCGCAGCCTCCGCCGCGCCGAGGCCGAGAAGATGAGCGCGATGCTGGACCACAGCAACCTCATCCGAGAGGTGAACCGCCGCCTCCAGCTCCACCTCGGCGAGATCCGCGGCTTGAAGGTAGCGGGATGGGCAGGGTGGGACCGCTGAAGTTTCTGCCGTGTCTTCGCTGCACCCGTCTGTCCCGCCGGGAGCGATCTCATCAGGTGGATGGTCTGGGAGGAGCCGTTACCACGAATCGCGTGAAAAGTGAACAAGGACTGGAGTGAATAGCGTTTGATCCCGCTTAAAAATCGAGTGTCCGGTTCAGAGAGGACCAACTATTTGGCAGGCTGTGGAGCACAGCTGTTGTATGCTTTGGGTTGATGAAAACGCTTAAGTCTCGTTGCTTTTTTATCGGACTTAATCGGTTTTTAGTAAGGTTAAATGGTCCTTTATGAAATGCACGTGAAAGAATAGTGTGCAGAGCTGCAGACATTAAAAAGGTTTTGCGTAGCTTATGCTGTTTTTTGTCACTATTTTAAGATGATTTACTAACCTGGCAGGCAGTCTGGTAGGCTGCTGGAGAGAGCTGGTCATTTCCAGGATGCAGCAGAGTGTATGGCAGGTGATGGCAAACCCTTGGGCTTGCTTTCAGGATGATCAGAACCAATCCCTAGTTTGTTGTCTGAAAAAGACATCTGATAATGCATTTCTGATCAAACCATTTTCGACTGTGTGCTTCTGCAGACTACAGAGAGAGGCAGACCAAGTCTGTAATGACTTAGCCTTCTTAATTTAACTCTTTTGTTACATGAGAAACAAAGTCCCTAATGTTTTGTTCCCAATTGTGAGGATTGGAAAGATAGTTTGACTATTTACAGATAATTACCCTAATGTAGTACATACATGTGTATTACAGACCTAGAAAGTTATCTTAAAGTGGCATGACTAAGACATTTTTTGTCTTGTTGCTTTGAGAAATGGCATTGTTTTTAGGAAATTCCTTCAGTGAGGTGAGGTTGGAGGGAAGAAGAAGAGAGACTGAGATGCAGTGTGGACTTTTGAGTTATCGCATGAGATTACATTAGATGAGAGTTCTTGACTTGTAGTATGGCTTTGAACTACTAAGTTATTGAGAAAGTGTGTTTGATAATAGTGTAGCATAAAATAAATAGCATGTGGGGGAAGGCTGTTCCTGTGTCCCAAGTTTTCCTGTTCTGCAAAGTATGAGTATGCGTGTGTCCTCTTCCTCTTTTTGACAATATAGGGTGTTTGGAGGTAAAAAAAGACCCATCAATGATAGTACTCGAGTAAAAAGAAAGCTTACATTCTAAATGTAAGTTAAATTACAACAATAGTATCTTTCTCCCAGTTACGTCCAAAGGTGTTGTGACATCATATGGATTTATGCATCACCCAGCTAAGTAACAGAACACACCAGGATGTGTAGGAAGGAGTGACAAATTCCTCTCTCAATTCTGAACTCCTTAGATGATGTTTAACTTCCACCTTTTGTTCAGATGCCTCAGCTGTAACTTTTAGAAAGAATTTGGGAGAATGTGGTTTTGAGCTCTGTGTTGGTGTCTGGACATCTGCCTCTTTTGTCCTGGGTGAAACAACTGGTCCCCGTGAATAACAATGACCAGCTGCACCTGTTTTTGGTGGATGGGTGCCTCCTGCTGATGAATTGTTGGCCTCCACAACTTTTATATTCAACCGTGGGGTCACTTTAGGTATCTCTCACCAGCGCAGATTTTTAAGGATACCTTGTAGCCTCATTGAGATTTTTCTTTTGCCAAATATGGAATGAAATTGGTTAACTTCAAAGTTATTTTGAGACAAAGATCAGACAAACACATGCTTGCATACAAATCCAGTGGAGTTACAAAAGCCTCCTTTTCTTCAGAAACAGTGCTAAAATGTGCATAAGGCTAAGTCTTTAACAGTTGTGGCTAATCTCTACTTCTAATATCATACATAAGAAAGAATTAATATTTAGATGGGAGAAAGATAAATATGGTCACAAGCCAGTTGGGTGAAACTAGGAGGATAAAATATTGAAAATGTTTTCTTTGGCTTATTATTCTGCTATAGTAATAGCTTGAACATTTGTGCTTCAGAGCATATGCCTCAGACTGTTCCTCGCTTCGAGAAGGATATGGAATCATATGCTTAGATTTTTCACTCCTAACAAAATTATTAAAGCGGATTATTTAATTTCAGAGTGGTTGAAGCAATTCTGATTAAGTGATGACTGACAAGGTTCTTTTATGCAAATCCGAAACAAAATCAAACAAACCCCAAATATTTTAAATCTCTAAAAGGTTCATTTTTATATGTGAATGTGAATGTGCTTTAGGGAATAGAGAGTATAAATTTTAATTATTTAAGTGAGATTTCTGACGTACCTTGCAGTTTTATTCAGCAGTGACTCTCAGATGAATATTTCTCAGGGGAGTGAGATCATCATGAAAGAGCTTATGATCTTTGCCCGGTTTGGGAGCTAAATTATTCTGATACTTAGCATGAAAATTAATTAAGCACCTGAAACTTTTAATGCTGTATCAGAAGTTAGTCTTTGAACCCTTCAAGATTAGCTCCATGTTATAGTCACTTTTTACTGGGCAGCAGCTTTCCTTGTTTGAAGCATGATGCTATTATAATATGCTAGATCTACAGACAATTATTTGTGCCTCACTTGAGTGCTTAGGTGATGGGCTTATAGCAGTGCTGTTCACTGGCTTGTATAATGGTAATGGTATAATGTTAATTCTTTTAGACACTTCTCTCTCATTATTATCTTTCTTTTAAAGGATATCAACCAGAAGCTGCAAGAAGATAACCAAGAACTGAGAGACCTTTGCTGCTTTCTGGATGATGACAGGCAGAAAGGCAAGAAGGTGTCCCGTGAATGGCAGAGACTGGGCAGGTACAGCGCTAGCGTTATGCACAAAGAGGTTGCCTTATATTTGCAGAAGCTGAAAGAGCTGGAAGTGAGACAAGAAGAAGTGGTTAAGGAAAACCTGGAGCTGAAAGAGTTGTGTGTGTTGCTGGATGAGGAGAAAAGTGGTGGAGCCGGCAGCCGGAGCTCTATCGACAGCCAAATCAGCCTGTGCCAGTTAACCACAACAAGTACTTACGTAAGAGATGTCGGTGATGGGAGCAGTACTTCTAGCACAGGAAGTACAGACAGTCCAGACCATCACAAACATCATCCAAGTACTAGTCCAGAACACCTTCAAAAAACTCGGGGTGAAGGAAGCCCTGAGCATCAGAAACACAGGAGTATCAGCCCAGAGCACCTCCAGAAGCCTAGGAGTTCTGGCAGTCCTGATCATCACCTGAAAGGGCCAAGTCCAGAACATCACAAAACCATTATCAAAGCTTCTGAACAACAAAAGCACAGCAGCAGCAGCCCAGAAACTCTCCCAAAGCATGTTTTGAGTAGTAGCCCTGAACACTTTCAAAAGCAGAGGCCTGGTAGTAGCCCTGAGCATCAAAAGCACAGCAGTGGCAGCCCAGATCATTTTCAAAAGCACACGCCAAGTGGAAGTACAGAACATCTCCACAAAGTGAGGGGTACGAGCCCTGAGCATCTCAAACAACATTATGGAGGCAGCCCAGAGCATCTCAAACATCTCAGTGGAGGCAGCAGAGAAGGTACCCTCAGGAGACAAGTAACAGATGACCTGTCCCCTCACCACAGAAGTATATACAATGGAATGAATGGTGGGTCAATATGTTTAGTGAAAACTCGCCTTGAAAATTACTAAGGTAGTTTCAGTGCTGTTTCAACTATTTCTGGAAAAGGAATATTGTTTTGTGTGAAATGAAAGGTAACAAGTCTGGTGTTAGCATTATTCCTTTAGCAATTGGTGTATGCCTGTTTTTCCATCCAGCAGGTGTTGGGTGGATTAAAAAAGTAGAGGAAAAGTACATCTTGAGTGTTGGTGTAAGGTATCAGGAGGCAACTCTTGGCCTTGATCCTGCTCTGTGGTTGGTAGATGTAAACTGCTTGTCCCTGGGTAGATTTCTGAGATTTCTGTTTACATCAGAGAGGAATTGGTATGTGTTTCTTGTCCTGCCTATATTTGAGTCAGCAGAACAGAGGTGAGTGTCTCCAATTTCATTTCCACCTTCCTAACCTACCCTGTCTGTAGCTTTAAAGATTTTAAAATTTCCTGTTTATTGATGGAAGGCTTCTTATATCCTTTCCCACAAACTGTGGAAAAGACCCCAGATGAAGAGCTATGCTCAATATAAATGAATCTGATGGCTCCTAAAACTTTTCAAAGTCTTGAGTTTGCATGTGTTTAATTTATGACAAGTTAAAAATTAAGGAAGAACCTTAAGAGGGTATTTTTTTGTGGTGTTATTGCTGCATTTTAGAAAGATACCCAGTAAACATGCCTAGCTTTTAAGAGCTGCGTATCCTCACTGATTGAAATTAATTACTCTTTTATTAAGATAGTAACAATTTAAGTATTTCATTATTTTGAAAGAAAGTGGTTACAATATTGAAATCAATGAAAGTTAAAAACAAAGTTCAAACATCCTACTATGCTGTAGAAATAACTTGTAGACTTAGCAGAATTTCTAAACTCTGCTCCATTTTGTTTCTTCTATGTGCTTTGAAATATTTTCCCAAAGGAAATTAGTGTCGTAGTTGAAAACCCATTTCTCACACCTTTACACTTGGATTTGAAGTCAAGCTCTGAAGAAGGTGAGGATTTTGCCTTAGTAAATTGTCTTGGATGGAGTTCATGTATCTCCATTTTATAAGCAGCTGTGAGAAGTTGTGTTGACATTGGTGGAACTGACTCCTTGTTGTTGGATCTGCTTGTGAGATGGAGGAGACTGAGCTCTGTGCTGGGTGCCATCCTCATCTTTTATCGCACTGTTCTCTCACATTGGGCCATTTACCTATCGTGATTAATTTACAGAATGCCTTCAGTTAAGATAATCTGCTCTATAGGGGTAAATCCAGATTACTGTCAGTGAAATGCGTATGCTTGACAGGGCTGACGAACCCCCAAGTGGTAAGTGTAGACACTTCTCCTTTTAATAATTTTAAAAATGATTAATAAGATGAGTCTATGACAGCTGTGTAAAGATGCGTAATACATATCTATGTTATAAAAGCTGGTCTTGCAAAGCTTCCATTAAATACTGTTATTTCTTTCTCCATTTAGTTCTTTCTGTTTAAAATTGACTTGGCTGTAAGTAGTGTGAAGTATGGAACCAGACTTCCTTGTTTACTTGCACTCATGATGTTCAGCAGTCCAGTCACTGGTTACGTAGAAAGTTGATCTAAGGTTTTAAGTATGTATTTTTAAAACTCCTTCACAGACAAAGATATAGTTTTTTTTCTCCCAACACGGTGGACTTTCTGATACTTTTTTTTTTGTCCAAATAGTCTTGTTAAGAACCTGGACATATTATTAACAGTGCAATGAAAGCAGTTGTTACTTTAAACCTGAGTTGACTGGCATCCTTTTTGCAGAGTATTTCAACTATCTACAGTTTGGACTCAGGCCACAAGGTGCTGGAGAGGGCAGCTGCTGATTTAGGAGTCTGTTCATTGACTTTAATCAGAGCTTTGCCCGTCCTACACTTTATATAATTTTTGCAGAGGACTTCTCTCACCAGAAAGTTGTCAAACCTCTCTTTTTTCATATTTATATAATTTGATGCAAGCATGCGGTTTAGTTTTGACACTCGTCTGACGCTGGTCAGTGGTGAAACTCTTGTCAGCTTTGCTCTGAGGAAGAGGCCTTAAACTTCAGGAAAATACTTGATCTTCACAGCAAGGCTGAAATTGTTTTGGTTTTTTTGTGTTTTAATTTTGTCAGCTACTGTAAAGTTGTGGAGAAGAACAGCTGATATGGAAGTGGTAAAAATGCTGACCGTTATCACTTATTATTGTTAATGTGTAAATCTTAATTTGCATGTTCTGTGTATATCTGCAGACAGGAGCCTGCCAATCGAGTATAGATGGGGCACTGTGCACTGAGCTGTGATGAAAATCCTGATCTTTTGCTTCTGTTGTAAGGAATGGTGAAATTGTGAAAACATGAGTTAGAAAGTGGCGTGGAAACCTGGCCCTAAACTCTGATAAGCAATATAAAAGGATGCTATTTTTGATTCTTATCCTTGAGTCGTGTAGTAAGTATACTATATCATGTTGGTGGAACCTAGTTTGTTTTAAAATGTGGAGGATATCTAGCTAGTAGATATCACATTGGTGTGATTATTTTGCATGGCACTTCTTCTCATCTTGTTGCAGTACTTGTGGCCTGTCATTTGAGCAGCAAGAGTGCAGTGTTTGTGATACTAAATGATGAATAGCAGAGACTAACATCTTTTGACTTCTTTTTAAATAAAGGAATAAAATAATATATTTTAACTATGTAATCATAACTTACTGGATGCAGTACAGGCCTGTCCTGTCTTCCTTGGTCTTGACTCTGAATCTGGTCTGAGGGGAGAAGGTATTCCTCTGCGTGTCAAACCTCATGCTAAAAAGTACTGTACTGTTACCTGCAGTTGCTGTTCCTAATTGGAAAGCATGTTTGTGAACAGCCTAGCCATTCCTGTTGAAATGAGGGCTTCCGTATGCTTCTAACAGCTCCTGTTTACAGGGAGTTCTGGTCTTGTCAGTGCTTGCGTGACCATGGGGAAGCAATTTATTCAGTGGCATACAGTTACCTATACCAGAACTTTGTATGGAAAGGCATGGGGAATGGTGTTAGACTCTGTATTTGCAGGTTTCTGACGAACTCTTAAGCTAAAGTTAACGCAGTTGCAATATAATATTACAATGCTATCAGAAATATGATGTGTATCTGTAGTCTGCTTTACTATATATTACATATGATTATATGCATTAATCATTTGGGCTTCATGCATATTTTAAGCTGCCATGAGGTGTGCGGGAAGTTAGTCTGAAGCTGTCTTTGGTCCATAGGCACAGCTGAAGGAGTAAAGGATGAGGTGGCAACATTGCCTTTCATAATTCTTCTAATTTCTATGCTCAAAAGGTTTGATCTTGGTATTTTTTCTTGTATGACATGTTAGCTTTCATTTATAAGATTTATAAAGCTTTAAAAAAATTGCTTCAGGGTTCTCTTACACATTTTTCTGAAATGGGTATCCTCAACCTTTGGAGTGACAGAAAATGGAATGTGAGAGCTAAATTTGGCTTGATGTTTGTTAATTGAAAACATATGTATTTCATTTTAGAGGCTCTAACCAAATAAAACATGATAACAATCTTTTGCTGGGATCACACCTAAACATTCTGGGTAATAAGCACGAGCGTATTTGGGATAGAAAGATTGCTGAAATTAGAAGAGAAAATACCAGCGGTAAAAACGTTTTAAAGAGAACATTTTTGCAACCTAGAATAATACATGACAGTTTAACTGTGACACAAATCTGTGGGGTATAAGTGCCTTTATATAAATGAATGTGTTTCCAGCATTTGCAAGCCAAGTGGTGTAATTTATTGTAAACTTTCTATTTTAAGAAGTCCTTTGTTTTACTCTGGGCTTTGACTTTCGTGTGAAAGCCAATACTTTCTGAAAGTATCAGAAGGCTTTCGTGTGTGCTT